TCAGTATTAATTTCAGAAATCTAATATAATAAATTCTAAATTATTATTATTATAATAATAATAAATATATTTTAAAAATTTCTTACCTCTGATTCATTATCTTTAAAAATTACATGTGGAGATGCATTATCCAATAGCATTAAAATTTTTTGACCTTGAATTCGAAATTTAGTATCTAAATCTTTTATCCAATGACGAAAAATACTCTGTATCATCCATGCATTTTTACTCCAATAATAAGAAATTGGTAAATTATGTAAATTAATTCCACGAAAACAACGAGGTTTTTGTGCATTCCCAATTACAAGTGGCTTGATTTTTTCTGTTCCATTTGCATTACATGTTAATAAAACAGTAACTCTTTGCTTATCCTATATAATAAAATTTATTTAATAAAATATATTATATTATAATAATATTTATAAAAAAATTATATTGTATTTACCTTTTTTGTTTTCGAAACAGGCTTAGAAGCAAGTGTTTGATTAGGTATCATATGATAAAACAAACTAGTTTCATCACAATTGAATACATCATTTAGATCATATTTGGAAATTAATTCTTGTAATTCAGTTCTTTTTTCAGGTAATATAAATAAAGAAACAGAATTTGCTTCTCTATGTATTCTTTACTTAAATTATTTCTAACTTTAAATCCACTTAACCAACCATTTGAAAATACAAGTGTATCTTCAATAATATTCAGATTTTTTGCGAATTCTTTTGCTTTTTCTTGTAAAATACTATCTGATATAATCATGTTTTTCGATAATACTTGCTTCACCCAAATAGAAAACGCCTCCTCAAGAAAGGATACTTTACTTCACGATGCTTATAAACTGGAGTTGTATTGTTTGTTATAATAGAAAGCCATCATGTTTTATATTTTAAAATTTTATTAATTGTTGTCCTTTAGATATTAGTATCATAAAGTTAGTTAAAATATGTTGCGATATCTAGATAAGATATCTAAGGATTTTTATTATAAAATTCACAAATTTTACGTTTGGTTTCATCACTTATAAATGTTTTTTTTCTTTTTTTCTCTTCAGACGTCATATTATAAAGTAAAAAAAATTCAACATATAATTTGAGAAAAAAGTTGAATTCAAATGGACGTGTTTGCAATTTAAGATAATGATTGTTAAAATTATAAAGAATTTTTTTAATTTAGTTCACTTAGATAATATCCGCAATCATATGACTAAATAAGCAAAAAAAAATTTAAAAAAAAATACTCTTTTCTTTCAAAAAAGCTAATTAAACTTACTTTCTTTCAATTATTCTTGGAAGGAAAAAAACAAAACCAAAAGCTTGTTCTGAATTGCCATTTCTAAAATCCTTATTAAAAAAAAAACCAATCAACTACAATTCCGAATTGTTTATTTCTAAAAGAAAAATAAAGTTTTTCAAAGAAGTCTTATTCTTAAAGAAAAACATAAAGTTCTTACTAAAAAAATAGTTTAAAACTATGCACAAACCAAACTTACTTAAAGAAGTCACTACTGTTTCAATTTGTCCATTCTTTAAAAAAAACTGGTCTTCAACTGTTTTTAAAAGAAATACCGCAATTCCCCAAAGTTGTTTTTTTCAGATAAAAAAAGATTGATAAAATTTAGTTAGTGTAACGTAAAAAAACCGTTCCAAAAGTATACTTTTTAAGTTGGATCATTTAACCTCAATATATATCATGTGATACGTGATTATAAATAGTTTATTTTATAATTGTTTGAATATATACTAATCACTATCACCAGTATAAAAGAAAATTGTATAGTGGTGATTATAAAAAGTATATTTTAACATTATAATTTTGGGACATTAAAATTAGGTGATAATAAACAGGATGTGATTATATATGGGGTGATTATAAACAGGGCTGACTGTTTGCTAAAACCGAGTTTACGAACATGGTAAATCATATGATCCATAACGTGATTTTAATAGCAAACCTCCCATATGTTGAAACCATACGGAAAATTCTTTCTTAATAAACAAATACGAGTAAGATCGAAATTGAAAATTGTGTTTTATTTAACCTCAATAAAAAAACTTTTTTTTAATAGGTTACAGGATAGAAGATCTAATAATTAAAAACCTAAATATATTTCCCTACATTTAATATTTAAATTGTAATCTAAAATAATCGACCCGCAAACTGACCGACCTATTGATCCAATTATATTGATATGTATAAAATCGATCTAACCTTATAATGGCGATGGCTTTTGGAAAAAAATATCAACAGGTTATCATTGGTATGAACGATTTGTTAAAATATCACAATATACAATGCCAGATATTGTCCTGATTACATTGTAACAGATTATCAAAAAAAAAAAAAAATCTTCCTGACCACAAATTAGTCATTGGCTAGTCAATGATGGCCCATTTTACTCGAGGATTATTACGGTCACCCAATGTAAAATGGTTAAAATCAACCTAATAGAATTAAACTCCAACCAATGAAAAATAAATTCAGGGTTATACAAAAAGGAAATTCTCCAACAAATGAGAAGGCTTTAATGTTGACCAGAATTAGTTAATTTTAATTCCGCAAAATAATTGTCGGTTTTAGCTTGAAGATGGCCGTACTAGTTGACGATTGTTTGCTTGAGATATTTGAATATTTAGAAAACGATCCAAGGTCATTACATTTTTGTGTTCTTGTCAACAGACAGTGGTGTCAACATGCAATTCCAGTTCTCTGGAGAAACCCGTGGAAATATCGACAAGGAGGGTGCTTAAAAAATTTAATCGATATATATATTTCAACATTACCAGAGAAAACTCAAAACAAATTATCAGTAGATGAAATTATTGAATTTCCATTATTTAACAAACTCACTTTTGAATATTCAAAATTCTTACAAAGTATAGTATTAAGTGAATTAGACAATGATATTAGACTTTGGGTTCACAATCAACCTATTAGAATTCATGAATCTTCCTTTATTTTTAAGCCTCAACGTAAAAGAAAAGCCGCCAAGAATCATACAAAGGCGATTTGGGATGAATTCCATGAAGGTGATGATGGAGGAAGAATTCAACGAATAAATTACAAAGCGAATAAAAAGATTATAACTTATGAATTACTTAAATTCTTTCTGGTTAATTCAACAAATATAGATACACTTTATGCTTCAAATTTAAGTACTAGGAGCTTTTATTATATAATGGAAATCATTGAATGGAATCCTATAACAAAAAATCGGATCGATAATTTAAGACAATTACAATTTGGGAGCAATGTGATACATTTATTACCACGAACCTTATGTAATGTGGAATATTTGGAAATCGAAAATTGCAATTTATGTTCAGATGGATTAAGAAATTTTATTAATGCACAAAATAACTTGAAGGAATTAAATGTGAAATTTAGTAAAGCACGTGGTGATATTAATAAAACTTCGGATATCATTTCAAGTAAAGAATCAATTACTCGACTTATTATTAATGATTCCCCGGGAATTTGTTTGATTTTGAAAGGGTTTGAAAATTTAACGGAATTGATTATAACGTATACTGAACAATACACCGTCAGTTTTTGGAAGCATATGGCAAAGGCGTCATTAAGGAATCTCAAGAAATTGATTATCAACCATAATTATATCATATATTATGATCTCATCGCAAAGTTTATCGATAGTTCTTCTTGTGATTTGGAACAATTCATTATAAACACAAAAATTCAAGGGGATCAAAGTGTAACTGACTTATATATTAAATCTATCAGTAGACATTGTCCAAGTCTAAAGGTTTTCCAAGGGGTAATCAGTGTATCGAATCTATCTGAATTCTCTCAATTATTAAAATGCACTAATCTAAAAATATTACACCTTTATCCAACACAAAAAATGTGTCAATTTGATAGTTTCATGGAAGCAATGATGGAGGTTCCTTTAGATAATTTATCTAGATTATATTTAGAAACCGGGTGGAAATTAATGAAGATAGAAATTTTTAAAAATTTCATGAACAAAAGGAATTCATTAGAATTAAAACCAATTTCTTTTCATTGTCATAAAAATTTTGTTAATCGTCGTTCAATATTTTTAAACCTTTGTGAAGATTATAAGCGAAAAGATTATTTGTTAGATTATCATTTGTATGGATATTTGAATAATTACGATTGAAAAGTAAAGTTCCACCTTTTTTTATTCTAACGTTTACACAAGTTAAATACTAATAATAATAAATAATAAATAATAATAGGAAATGCAATTTATGATTTTGTTATTAAAAAAAAAAAAAATAGTATACAAAGGACCTAAAAAAAAATCCGATTAATTGATTATTATAATCTCTTATTGAATAAATAAAACTTTTGCGTCAACTGGGAAACCGATCCTTTCCAATGATCTTCTAACACCTTCCATCATGCCAAAAGGACCACAAACGGCAACTCTACAAGATTGAGTGGCATCTTGACTTAACATTCTCATAAATTCTTGCCTTTCAGATAATACATTCATTTCATTATTTGATTGAAAATTACTAAACGCAAAAGGTTGTATGCTATTTCTCATAGGGTTACCATCACTACCATCCATAGATATATTTGAAGCGGGTAGTTGTTGTGATGAAAGAGGTGGTGTAGCAGCCGAATAATTATATAGAGATTCGTTAACATTTGGATTATATGATGAAGTTAACATCATTTGTTGTGGTGTTTGTGGTTGGGATAAATTAACTCTTGGCGGTATTACTGGAGGTGGTATTTGATAATTTTTCGATATCCAATTAAATAATACATTATCGTCTAAATGTCCTGATAATCCTCTCCATATCGGTGGAGGTTTTGTTAAGGTATGAGTTACCGTAAATTTACCATCCGATGTTGATGCAAGGAAATCTAAATATTTCATTGAGATGATATCTGATATTTGTGTATTTGCACAGAGCAAATGAAGTTTAAAAGTTGACCCGAAACTATCCGCACAATCCAAATGATATTGAATCTATGAGAATTATAATAATAAAAATAAGTATCAAATTAAGATGCTTTGACAAGTTTTAAAAATTTTCTTGCGATTAGGAGATAACATACCAATTGAAGCATAGGGGTTAAACCCGTACCACCGCAAACCATAAACAATATATCCCAACACTGATCTTCCCTAGCGGGGTTTAATAATACCCTATTATTTATTACACCACCATTAGATGGCTGGTGAGCTTCACTATTACCATTCACCGAATAACTTTCATCACCATAAACACTATCTAAACCAAAATTACTTGGTTGATAATTACGTTGAATATTGCTTACACTATTTTGTCTTAATAACGTTGCACTACGAGCTAAACTCGTATTACTATTCCCATACATAAGGTTAGCGGTGGAATTGGGACTTGATGGTCTGATTATCGGTGATGTTGGTATTTTACTTGCTTGATGTGGGGATACCTGTGGCGGTGTATACATCCTATCTGCTACATCAAATGGTCCTCGAACTGCTATTTCGAAATTTCTCAGTTGTTTTTCCTATAGAGTATACGAGTATTAATAATATATGCAGTTAGTGGGTTGATTTTTGTTCATTAACTACTTGAGCGCGTAATTTTAATGTGAATTTACTCACCAAATGTTGTGACATGGCACCATCCTTGTAGATCTTGACCAATATTGTAAATGTTTTATCAGAAGGACCTTGTAATGGAGTGTATGGTCTGATTACCATATGTTTGTTAACATAACTCATGATTTCAATATAATCACCGGGAAGAAATTTTGGCAACTTGTCTTTTGGATGAATGACTTGAAAGGTTAATTTTTTAACAGGATTTTCAGCATCATGTCTAGTAGCATATTCGATATTAGTTAAAATATATCTTTTAAATATATAAGGTGAATTATTTTGTGGTGTAGGTGGTGCATTAATTATTGGGGTCATGGAAGAAATTGGATTAAAATCATCATCTTTCTTTTGTTGTCCATAATCCTCTGTTGAATCTGATATTCTTGCTACCACCAAAGTAGCTAATTTGGCCGTAGCAAATTTTGAATGACGATGCATCGCAACCCTCGAATTTTTAAATGTTGTACTATTAATTAAATCCACGGTATTAGCTATCGATTTAGGTCGAATTGCTTGAGGTAATTTCCTTTTCTTTAAACTTTTTACATCTTTAGTTTCTTCAATTTGTTTCATTATTTTTTCATTTTCTGAAAATGCCCTATTAATGACTATTTGATCTGTAGGGTCAAAGAAAAAGTCTTGTGTAATATCGGTACCAATTACTCTCCTTAATATCCTTTGTCCTCCTGGATGTATTTTAAACCATTTATGTATATCAAATACTAACCCTTCCGCTACTACTAGATGTGCTCCTGCCATAACCCTTAAATTAAAATCATTCCAACTTATTGCTGGTAATTGTTCAAAAACATCTTCCGGTATACGATTATAAAGACGTTTGTTTTTATCTCCATTTTCTCTAAGTGGCCATAAGAATTGCAAATTCTTATATTTATAAACATACTCCGCTATAACATATATTGCTACCACGACCGCTTTAATAGATTATAATATAAATATATCAAATTGAATGTTTTAAATTGAAATAAATACAAAAATATAAATAAATTTGTCAAAGTGATATTTACCCAACCAAATCAAATAAAGTATTCTCCATGTATATGACAAAATGTTAAATTGTTTTGAATATAAGGTTATTCCAACGTATATTTGACACCTATTAAAAGATAATCAAAATAAATATTTGATAAGAAAAAAAAAATTTTTTTTTTTTTTTTTGTTTCATATATATTATTTACCAAGCAAGAATCATTATTACGAAGCCTAAATAAAAATGAAGATGTTTTAATCCGACAACAATTCCTGTACTAGCTGATTCAACTGCGGCAAGACCCCATATAGCGAGGATACCCAATCCAAGTTGAAGGAATATAGTGGAATAAATTAACAATCCCAAACTGAAAAAAAAAAAAAATAAACACTAAATTAATTTTTTTTTAAAAAAAAAATAAAAAATAAAAAAAAAAAAGAGAGGAAACAAAAAAATTATCATAGATAATATTACTGACATGTCGTGCGGATTACTTCCATGTTTAGAGACGGTCGCCATGGCTGCAGCTCCAAAAGTAATTACGATTAAACCTCCAACCATTTGTAAATTACGATGCCGGGACATGTATGTTTCAACGTGCTTCAAGTATCGAACAATAAATATCGAAGCTAAAAAGAGTATAATAATCATACATTAGAATATGTTTTACATGGTAACTTAATGAGAAACTTAACGAAATTTCAACTCACCAGGAAATAGAATACTAGTGTGTATATATATATTTTTATTTTTAAAAAAAAAAAAAAATTATCATCATCTTTGTATCGATGCTTAAATTATAAGAAATTGAGTTTAACCGTAAATACTAACCCCCAAGCTGTAAACATCGCGATTCCATGAATGAACCGAGTATCCTGAATATTTTGAATAGAAACATTAGCAACAGATCCTCCTCCTGTAAAGAAATTAACTTTGGTTGCTCCACGATTTCCTCCATGATAAGATAGCTCATTTGAATTTGGATTCCAAGCATAAATCATTGTAATTAAATTATTTGAAATTGGAGGTCGTCCATTTGGAGGAACTAATGGTCGTGTAATTTCAACTTGAGTAAAACCGCTTAATACAGTAGGGGTATTTTTTTGTTCTACAAATTGCTTCGGATCCTCTTTAGGTCGTTCATATTGATTGGATAGGTAGTTATTTATTGATAAAGTTGAATCGTTTTTGTTCCATATAATTATCATATCAGCGTCAATCATTCCGGTATCTGAAGGATTAAATCCCAATCCGAACCATGCATTTGAACTCAGCATTGTTATTTTAAAATCAATGTTTTTATCGTTAATTTTCCATCTAATCTCATAAACTTCACTTAATTTAAGAACATTTTGTTCAGGATAATCATCTTGCGCAGGCTTATTCTCCTCAATTGTAGATGTGTTAAATGTTGAGATAGGTTGAACGCTCCAAATATTCGTTGGAAACACAAAACCTTTGGGAATATTGTTTTGAATAACTGATAGCCAAGTTATATTACGAATTTCGTTAATTTCATCACGTGTAAATCCTAAATTATTTCCTTCAAACCAAAATCTATCCGAATCACGAATCAAATTCCATTGTTGAGTGAAGCTTTTATGAAAGAGTTCTCCTAAAATCGATCCTTTTGCATGATCTTCAGCTAAACCTCCTATGAAAGATTCGACTTGATCCACACTTTTATAAGCTTTTTGTAAACGTTCTTGTACCTCTGTATTTGATGAAATTTCTGTGAATTGAGTTTTTCTTTTTAATCCTAATGCCTCTCTCGCATCGTTATATAATGGCATTCCTCGATCACGACTTCTTACAATGTCTAGACTTGCAACGTCTGTAGTCTTTCCAGTTTTAGCGTTAACCAGAACTCTCATTTGATCAGCATAGAAAATATCAATTTCTTCTTGTCTAAGAAAAAACATATCAATTGTTTTCATTAGATATTAACTAAATAGTAAAGAGGAAAAAAAAATGTAGCGCAATAAAAATTACCTTTGAAGGGCCATCGAAAGAACCAACGTTGCAACCCCATATTTTTCAATGAGCTTAGGGGTGTTAAGTGACTTAAGGGGCAATTCAGTAAGTTTATAACCAGATTCATCAACTATATTATATACATCACTTATTTCGGAATGCGCATAACGAGAAGTAACCGTTGAAAAGAACGTATCTATTTCTGGCGTCATTGCAGAATCATATCCTGAATAATTAGGTAAAGGAGCTCCTAATACTATACTAAGGTATTCAAGCGAAGTGACCCTTTGGATGATTGCAATGACCCATTTTCTTGCTTCTTGAAAATATTGTTCATCGCTCCAAGTATCCCCATGTATCTCGAATAATAAGTCACATTTGCGATTATGTTCTCTCATAAGGATAAGCATGATGGTATCTACGAATACATTTTTTCCTGTACGTGTAGTTAATGCAAAGACATATTCCTCATTATCATTGACGGGCGGGTATCCAAAACTACCATCTTCGGTGTTTTCATCGTAGTTTAATTTAAGTTTTCCACGAACTCCTTCACGAACTTTCATTGATTGATCTATCGTAACTCCAT